AAGCCTAGTTGGCTAGATTTGCAGTTTAAAACTGCGATGCTATTGAATTCCATCTGACTTTATAAGTGTTACTTTGTACTTGACGGAGTACTGGGGTTTAAACGACTGTCACTAATTTCTTACTTTGGCATGATTTTTGTAGTATGAAGATTACGCCAATTATCCATTCTCCAGAAAGTTTCTTTAGCAGAACTTTAGCAAAAATATCTCTCAACCTGAAAAAGCCAAATATTTTTGCTGCTCTTTTATACTGTGTTTTAAATATTTTATTTTTTGTTTTGAGTATTATTGTCTATCGTACTTTATTTTTCTCTTAAACTCTGCACAGTAAAATATCTCTACTAACTAGGTCTTGTTTGGAAATCAGAGCCACGCGACATTGTGGAATTATTTTTGGTTTGATAAATAAAGATTATTTTTGCCTTTATTCTGCCAGCCGTTAATTTCGAAAAGATAAATAATTATTACCCATCATAACAGAATTTCGAATAAGCTACGGTAAATATAAATAACGTCTAACGACCTTGATGATGAAGCATCCGTTCAGTTTGGATAGCCGCGCGGTTTTTGTAGATGATACGCTTCACTACCTCGAGTGGTATCGCACGATTGATTAGATGCAGGTGCCAATCAACGGTGAATAATGTTAATTTTTTGTTGACCGCTGAGTAATCTCTTACTCTTTCCATTCACGAAACATATTGTTTTGTTATTGAACAACGGCGGATTTGTGTCTTGGTCAGTTTTGTTGTTACCATTGCAAGTACTACGTGATTCGTGCTTTATTTAGCCTTAATATTATTATTATTGCACTGTTTGAAGGCATTCCCGTATTCAAGTTCTTACGCATACATGCAGATGGCGTTGTTTTTGGCACTTGAGATGTGTTTCATTTTAGTATTTTATGATTTTAGTGATACAGACTTAAAGTAAGTCGTAGATCTACACAATACTTTGATACTTCCATAATAAGGTCAACCACATTCTGTTTTGGATATCGTGTACATATAAACGTCTCATACGAGATTACCTCGGAGATTACACTCCTCAAATATTTGGTATCCCATTAACTGACATATTTACAATATTTGCTTTTATCATTGCATAAAAGCTTTGATAAACAAAGGCTCCTGTCAAAACGTAGTCTTTCGCGTTACAGTAGAGTTGTCAAATTTCTCTGTAAAAAGTATTAATGATAAAATTTACCTATAGCAAAAGTGAGTTTAGAAAATCCCTTCTTACTCTATAATAGTATATCTTGTTTATTCAATAAATGACAATATTAATTAAATTTTTATTGAATTGATATTCAATTATTTTTTGTGAAATTACTCCACTAGTTTGTTACAATTATTAATACAAAGATCGAACACTCAGAAAAAATTCCTTCCGACCGGATCGAAGGAATTTTTTCTGAGTGTTCGATCTTTGTATTAATAATTATAAATGACAATATCTTTTCGTTATCAATACATAATTCAGTCGTTTGCAAGTGATAGGTTTAACTATTAAAAGTTTTAAAGAATTCAAATTAAAAAAAATCGAGTAATCGGAGCGAGCATCGAGATTGCATTGCATTATGTATTAATGGAGAAGGCGCGCACCGGCTGCACGCGCATACCGCCGCTGCACCTCGCGCCCGCCGCGCGGTAACTGCACCAGTCGACAATTATTGCACTTATTTATATTGTAAATCGATCAATCGAAATTTGAATGAGTAGATCGATTAGTTCATAGTGAACTCGATTTATTACCCAACCCCACCGAATCGAAGTTAGTGCTAGTGCTGTGCGCTATAATGGAATCGTTTTACGAAGTCGTAAGGACGTTGAGTAGGAAAACATTAAAACGGAAGAAAAAGGTAATATTTGACGAGTATATCTGTCTACTGTCTCTATATCTTTTTGTGAAAGTCTTCTTAGGAGCCATAAAATCTTAATTCAGTACAGGATTGACAAAGATATTTTTTTTTTTCCCAACTTTGCCAATCCAACAAGTTATTCTTTATTACTAAGTAAATAAAACACCATTGCATTATTTAGCTTTAATGTTATAGATAGATGAACGTTTAAACTGCCTAACTCACAGAAGTGCATTTTCTCCTCCGCTCTGAAACATTGATAACCATATTTATAGTAGGTACGAGTAACAGCTATTTTTACACACCATGACAATAGCAAATTATTCGAGGAAATAAGCAAATACCGGTATGAATATCATAAACAGTGTTTCATTCAACAATTATCTACAAGAAACGTGCGCAGGAAAGCGTGAACGGCCGGTCTGCGTGGCAACAGCGGATCGCTCGTCAAGTAAATTATAAAAATTTATACTAGGACTGTAGTACCATGGTCTCTAATATTTTGTTTTAAACGTCTGTTTCGATACCTCCAATGAACACAACGCCATCTTTATATCTTGGTCAATTTCTTTTGTTGTTGTAAACAGTCGTATCTATTTACTAATGTTATAGGTATATACCCGAATTTTGTGAAAAAAAATAAACAAAAAACGAAATAAAAACTGAACAAATCCAAAAATTAAGTTGGCGTAATGTTCATTGGAGATATTATCGATTTATTTATAATATATTTTAGAGCGGTGGTCGCCTCCCGCTGGGGAAGTTCAATGTAACCCCGTGCTCAACAATGTGACGTATAATTGAATGGTAATTGGTGAAAATAACAAAACCCCGACTACAGAAATTTCGCCTCATGAAGTCGTATTACAATAATCGCGACGTCATGAATCCTAGCCTAGCCTTTTGACCACCACTGACAAAAACTAGTTTTATTTCTTAGGCGCCAAGTCTAGTGATGTGCCACGTTTAGAATTTTACCCTTATATTAATTCAATTTGTCCTAAGTTAAAGAAAAACATAACTGAACATAAAATGTGACTATGAATTCATATTTAACCAGAATATACAAATAACACATGGTTTCATGGACGCTTTAAAGCGTCTATGGCGGTCAAAAGTATAAAATTACCTCGTGCCTAAGGATATTTCGTACCATTGGTTGTGATCATACGTCAAAAGTGCTTTTATCACATGAAATTCATACAAATAATACCAACTTCATGAAACAAATTATGAATATGTGAAATTTTATGGCTCTCGTATTTAAAAGATATAATATGTAGAATGGAAATTTTTCTATATTTTCTTTCCTCTTATCTTTAAACTTCTCTCCTGAAAATTTGTTATTTTGCAGATGTGACCTTATTACACCAAGTGTACGATTTAATTAGTTGAAGCGTTTACGCTATAATATGTACCTACTGCTCGTATTATTTATACGTGAATAGCCATAAAGTACTCTTTTTCAGCTTTGTCGTAGCTGGACGTAGTGGATCGTAATGTCTTCCAAGGTTCGTGGTTGTATGCAAATAAAACCCTTTGCTTTTATTTCCACTTGTCTATTAACTCTCAATCTATGAGACGTTTTTTTATCTGAATACTATGTGCCACATATCATTATATAGTGGTGTGATACGATATATGGTTGACTGATGAGTTACGAGCTTGCATCTCATTGCAACGCCTACCGTGCAATGCTTGTATGACAGTGATTAATTGTTTTACTATTTTGAACTTTATTTCGTTATAATAGAGCAATTAATGCACTGCATATATTTATATGTATATAGGGTCAATTCTGAAACCGCTATTCTTGCATCTCACGCAAATTCTGTGTGAAATGGTACATGATCACTATTTTGTTATCAAAATAGAAAAGTACAAGTAAGTAAAGGCACAAAATAAAGGCCGTAATTTATTCTGCGATACGCACACGAAGCACTTTGCTTCGTTTTTAATTATGCGTATAACAAAGTTATGAAATACACTGCCTATAGCTGTTTTTTCCAAAAGATACAATTTAGGGCTCATTCAAGATTAAAATGAATAGGCATTTACTAAAACAAAGATTTGCAATAAGCACATAAAAAAATTCGTAAGGTCCGTTGGTTCGTTCCGTGGCTTAGTTGGCATAGCGTTTGGCACGGTTTTCTACAAGAGGTTGGTTCGAATCCGGCCCGATCGAAGGAAGTTTTCTGAGTGTGCGATCTTTGTATTAATAATTATATTATAGTAGCAGTAGAGCTCCTTGTGCAAGAGTTCGTCCAGTGTAGTACTGACCTTACCTATTTCTGCTGCCAAGCTGTAATGTCAGCATTACTTTGCTCCGGTTTTGAAGGGTAAGGGTGCTGGTGAAATTACAGGCACATGGGACTTGTCAACTTATGTCTCAGGGTAATCGGCGCAATGGTAGTGCGCCTCAGATCTTTACAATGTAAAGCTCTGAGTGGCACTGCAACTGTTATGAACAGGCGTGTCGCTTACTACCAGGCTCACTTGGTATTATAAAAAAAATATCAAACTTTAGCATTAACGGATATTGCTCCATTGCTGTGAATGCGATATTCAAACAAGTGTATTTATTGATTGATCGGCTGTTGACTGTACTTTTGTCTTACACTGTTCAACCTTATTTACTTTATGAAATTAAAGAATTTATTTCAGACGGTAGGTATAATTACATACTTGCAACGAGGATGGACATCCAATACTTAAGAATTGGGCTGGCCATCCTAACTACTACCACCTTAAGAAGACTGTTGGTGCTGCCTCTCACTTTGGCCAAGAGGGATGCCACTAATTTGCGAACGACAGCCTGGAAACTATCAATCCTAGCCTTCGCGAACATACCTGAGGCACTACAGTGTCGAGGCAGCCCCAGCAGTCCCCTGTTGTTGAATTGAACACGCAAGGCACTGTAGGCTTTTTTAGTGTAATTGCTCCACAGGTTTATACAGTCTGCAACAGTATTTAGTTTATACAGGTTGCGTAGGTACCTGCTTAATCTTTGAAAAGGCATTGAGTAAATATATTGATCCTAATAGATTCCTCACTATAGAACACATGTATAAGTTAGACATTGATATTTAAGACGGGTTGTATAAAAAACTCAACTAATTTAAACGTTAAATTGTTTCAGGTACAACCGAAGCCAACGACAAATGGAGTCGCTAAGGAGCGCGTATCCGAACGTGAGACGAGAGAAAATAGAGAATCTAGAGAGTCCCGAGACTCCAGAGAGATGCGTGAAATACGAGAATCGAGAGATGAAGAGCACATGGAGAGAAGAGCCCAGGCTTCTTCGCCAATACCAAGGGAACGCGAGAGAGAACGAGACAGAGATAGGGAGATAAGGGAAGACAGAAGAGACCGAGACCAGTCGACACCGCAACACGACGGGAGACATCCGTTGCTGCAGTTCGCCGTTGACCACTTCAGACAGAGCCCGGAGTGAGTATTACATCTATTTTAGTAAAAAAATATTGTTTGTTAAATTGTACCAGCGCTGCCATCTACTGACGATAAGAAACATTTATTCACACGTGGCGCCACTTTTATCTCTCAACATTTATCATACGCCTTTGTATTCATCTGGAAAGAACCATGTTTCTTGTTTCCTCTTTTTATTATTCACAAAGCACCTCAATTACTCTTATAGGTATGAATAGAGACGCAACTACATTTTCTGTAGTGTAGGTTCATGGGTTACCTTTTGATTGGTATGATATATTACCCGACGTACAAAGTGGCGAGGGAAATTGATTGCCCTTCTCGAAGCAGGTGCCGTATAGTTTTCACTTTCGATAGTGGCGATTGTGATGACACCCTGACCCGGCTATTACAATACGCCACACGTTGCTTTTCTGACGTTTTTTGTTTTTCCTTTGTTTCATAGTGTAACAATAAAAACAGAGCAAAAGAGTGTTCTCATTGTATAAATTACAAGTACTCTTATTTTCACCAAGATGGACAACAATATGTTATAATTAGTAATACAAAGATCGAACACCTAAAAAAAATTCCTTCGATCCGGCCGGATTCGAACCGACGTCAACTAAGCCACGGAACGAACCAGCGGACCTCACGAATTCTTCTATGTGCTTGTTATCGTATCTTTATTTCGTCGGATCGAAGAATTTTTTTCTAAGTGTTCGATCTTTCTATTAATAATTATAACAAGATAGTGGAGTAATTTCACAAAAAAACTAATTGAAAGTCAATTCATTAAAAAAATTTAAACAAAATTGTTGTATAGATTGGTCGATGACGAAATTAGACAGTAATTAAATCCCATGCCATTTTAGGCCTATTGACGCAAAATTGACCTGATACTTAGAGACCCATTTTTAAAGACATATTTATGCGTAAATTCTGTAATGATTCCAGCGCAACAGAGTCAGTCACTGAGTACTCCAACAAAATAATATCTTCTCTTATCTATTATTGTACAATCTCAAATTCAAACTCATCTGCCACAAATTACATAATAATTCTGTGAATCCATCCTCGTAACGTATAATTCCCCAAATATCGAAACGACCGCGTCATCCGAGAAAATTACGTCTACCCGCTGAATGATTACCTACCGAAAATACAAGTCACTGGTTAAATGTAGAGATAAATACGTCATTACAGGTAAAGGTAAAAAGTTCAATGCATAAATAATTTATAAAACACTGGTTGCTATAAGCAACTGTTATGTCATCCATTGTCAAAGATGTTCACATGGATAAGTTTTAGTGCCTTATGAAACCTTTTGAGTTGTGGCGTGTAGTAAAAAGAAGCGCTAAGTGATAAAGATATCAACAGGGAAATGAGGCTTTTTGCACCGTCTGTTGATAAAATTATTCATATTCATTGTTGTACATCAAATGAAAATTGTTTATTGCTTTTTTGACTGGATTGTATCTAAGTAAATAACGTAAAGAATCGCAGACAATAGATAGGGACATGGAAAAAGTATCGATACTTTTTAATATCGAGTACTTTTCCCTTTGATATCGATAGTTTTGTACTCGATACTTTTCAGGTATTAGTACTTTTTAGCAAGTATCGTATCGTTTTGACTAATTACTTAGGGCACCTCGTATCATAACGCAAGCCACCTTTCGACTTTTTTTAAATGGCATCCTTCATCACAAATGACTTCGCTGTATAGTGTATCGCACGTATACGTGAAGCAAACAAACGTTGTATCATTGAGTTATCCCTGAACTTACTAAGGCAGTGTGGCCGCTACACCAGCTTTACAAGACCGCGTTTTTTAAAATTTCCAACTTTAAAAAGAAACGTGTTAATTTTCCGAATGGACTAAAATGAGAATAAAACCTGCGATTCTCGAGGTATTGCAATGAAATTTGATACATACTCATTATTTTTCATGCTTTATAATTATACCGCTGAATGTAATAAACATAATTACATAAAATAATATAATTTATGAAAGAAAAAAAAATTACCACTTTTCTGGCCTACGATAGAAAACGCCTCCAATTTCGCGAACTCAATTTTTTGTGATTTGCGTTACAATTTAAATTAACAAGTTTACAATAACGTAATTTACCTACCACTTTTATGTATTGTGTATAATTTCAATTTGCGCTCCTTAAACTAACTTAAAAAAGGTTGTTAATATAATGGACCAAGAATTGACATATAAAAAAACAGGAGAATATTAAACTAAAGCTAATGTAACTAAAACCGAATTTATGTAATACCTGCTTTCAACTACTATCAGTAAATAAATAATTAAGTAATTTATTAAAATGTAAAAACTAAATAATAAATCACAGTGTCCTCATTCTATCAGGCTCTAATTATTTCCAATGATTACAATTAATTACAAACTACAATTACATGACAGCAGAGCGCTTGAACTTTAATTAAAACTAATAATTGCTTACGTTAAATAATTTGTAGTTCAGTTATATTTCACACAGACAATGGAGTTGCGCGGGCGCTTCTTTAGCATTCAATACGGCAGCGCCTGTCAGTGGAATACCATTCCACGCACTTTTTGTGTTTTTGCTAATGGATTTTGTAGGGTTGGCGCTTAAACTTTCTTTATAATAATAGGATTTTTGGATTCATTATATTAATGCATTGGACTTATTTGTGTAGTATTTTTCATTTAATAACTATTTTTTAATAATGGCTCTCTTTAATGTCGTTGTAATATATGTATATATATTTCTAAGTTTTAATTACACGCTTAAAACTTGGAAATATCTTGAATACCTAACTTATAACTTGTTTTATTGACTTAGTACTCGCCACAAAAATTTATATTAATAAAAAACTAGCGAAAAATCGTTATTTTTAGCTCTATTTGTTTAAAACGGAACAAACCTTTATCCATAAATTCACTACTCAATACTGTATTGTTTTAAAAAAATATAAAATACATTATTCAATGAGTTTTTCTAATAATTTTGCTTTCTCTGTACACATGCCAGTCGCCAATTTCACATGTAATGTCACTTCGTTCGCAATCGTTACAAATAATGAGGTCAGTATATTTGCTTTTTGATCATTTTTCATTGTATTACGGCCTGCTTACCACGGCACAATAATGGTTACTTTTCATTTGTTTGTTTGTTGTTGTACCAGGTGCCTTCGTCCGCGACATTCGATACTTTTTATTTGTATACATGCTGAACATTTTTCACATTCATCATTTCAGTGCAGTGTCACATTTATGTACGTGGCCTCGAATACTTCGATTGTGGATTCAGTTTGCAAGTATATATTTTCCAAGTTTAGTTTTAGCTCTTTCTCGCGTCGCTACGTCGATACACGAGGTTTTAGGATGTTTGCATACGTGTAAGTGATTGGAATGTACGTTGCATGACTACATCGTGCAGAAATAGCAACATTCATAGAACACTTATAGCTCGTTCAAGAGTTTCAAGACACGCATCAATAAATTTAAGAAAAAAATCATCCTTTCTGCTTCACAAAGCTCGCTAACAGCTCATGTAACAAAATGACGTAGCTTTCATTGTAAGCGTGCTCTCGTGATTTCTCTGATTTCTCACATGGGCCGGCCATCTCGACCCAGATCACAGGAATTGTAGCGATTTTTCGTAACTGCATTAGGCAATTGGCGCGAACAGCCAAAACAATGCGTCGTAAAGAGGAGCAGCCCTACATAGTGTGTAGCAGTTAGTTGAGAGGAACGGTGGCGCGGAACGGCGGTCCCAGTGGGACCGCGACCTTTCGCGATGCGGTGCTCAGCGGTGGCGAGGCTCAAACATAGGATGCAAGTATCTTTACAAGCTATATCTGTTAACACCTCGATTTGCAAGTTCTACATTTCAAAATAACCACAAACGTCAAAAACGATACATTTTGTGGTATTTGTCATTGTGCATAAACATATCTATAATGGATTTATTTTGTTAATAAGTTACTACGCAAAAGTGAAATGGCTTTTTTTTAAATGTGTCTTGTGCTAGTGTTTTATGTGTTTCGAAATTGTAATATATTCCGCAATTTCTGGTTTTACCTAAACAACCTACCTGTTTTAGAAAAGTGGTATTATACAATGATGCGTTGGCTTTTTAAATATATTTTGGTGCATTACGACTATTCGCGACGAAAAGTTGATCAGAAAAAGGGATGTATTTACACATGCAGAAAATTGAAATTTATAACATTGTGCGTAGAGCAGAATTGAGTTCAGTGAAAACTACACGACAAGAAAATGTTATTGAATTCTGCATAATCGACAAGAAATATTTTGTAATCTTACTTTATATGACTTTTTAGAAAAAATCTCTACATTTTTCATGATTTCTATTATTGTTCTGTATTTGTTTAAACTTTCATTTATGATTTTATGTAAATTAACATTACAAATCGTTTGTCTCCTGCCTAATTAATTGACATTATTGCAAATATTTCAGAGGGAACGATTTTCGGTTTAGCATGAAATGCCAGAACGTTTAATCGAAATCAAAACACGGTTAAGTATTTTTTTTTCTCAAACTGAACGTTCTGATATTATGTGGCCAGTGGTTCATATGAACATCATAATAATGCAACCTTTTTTTAAAACATAAGCCGTAGGTCATGTTAATTAAAAAGTCTTTTTCTTATATAGAGCCATATAGATTTTTATAGGGACTTACGACGATTAGTGACACATCGCTTTCGAAAGAAGAGTAAAGTCGTAGATCTTTGAGTTTTTAATTTTGCGCGTAATAACTAATCTCATAGGCTCACGGCTGACTATACGGCCTGTGAAAAGCCCGAAACCTTATTTTGTTTGATAAAACAAATATAGGCGATTTGGATCGAAAAAAATAGTTCTATTTCATCTACGTTTTACTAAGGCTGAAATTTGTAAAACGAACTTTGACTTCGACGAAGCAAAGATAGTGAACTGAGCAAGTTTTTCGTATTTACGAATCAAATTTCGCCTAAGAAATTAAATTAAACTTTGAGTT